CCGGTCGTGCCCGCCGTGGCCGAGAGCTCCCCGCGTGCCGCCGCCCGCTCGGCTCGGCTCCTGCCCGCGCCCCGGCCTCGCCCCGCAGCCGCCCAGCTCGCTTCACGTCCGCTCCCGGAGCCCGCGCCCCACGCTGCCCCTGCCCGCCCCGGCCATGCTGTCCTTCCAGTACCCCGACGTGTACCGCGACGAGACCGCCGTGAGTACCAACTGCCCGCGCCCACCGCTTCCCCGCCGGGCGTGCCGCGCCGGCCGCCGCCCGCAGCTCCTGGCCCCGCAGCCCCTCGCCCCCCGCGTCCCTCCCCTCCCCCTCGGCCTTTGTTTGCGAGACACGGGCCGGGGGCGCGGGCTCCTCCCGAGCCGCGGAGCCTCCGGGGGGGGGGGGGGTAGGTGGGGGGAGGGCACTCCCCGCCTGCTGGCGGCGCCGCCCGGCATCGGCCGCTGCTGGGAGACTCCCCGAAATCAATGGGGTCAAGGGCAGATGCCCAGGTAGGAGGTGTCACTGCTTTTTGCCTGGGGAAGCTCGTGCGTAAACATGGTGGCAGGAGAAAGAGTGTAAGTGTATAGATGATGTAGGATTTAAACACAAAGCAAACTTTCTAAACTTCCAAATGAAGAATTCTTAGAGTTGAAGTTCATTCATTCGGTTTTACAACGTGTACTGAGCGCTTACCCTGCCCCAGGCCGGCTGCTGGGCGTTGGGGATGCAGAGACAGGACTGAGTAACGCGAAGGCGACCAGGGACCCCGCGGTTTAGCAGTGCTGATCCAAGTTTTCCTAAACTAGAAAAGGAGTTGATAGGGGGTGAGAGGAGGACCTAGAAGGGAGAGGGGATGGCCTCTTTTCAGGATGAGTTTAAGTTTTGCTTCGTGGAGGGGTGAGCCACCATGAACCTCAGCTGTAGATGAACTCAGGATGGCTGTTGAGATCCGGTGGGCGGAATTGGAGGGCAAACAGCTCTTTATGTGTGAGTAAAAATTAATTTGGCATCTTAAGAACTGTAGTGCATCCAAATGTTGTAGGCATGATTCTCTTAGGAGTAGCCAGATTTCTCAGATTACTTAAAATAGAATCAGATTAAAGCTATTTTTGTGTAATACAGTTCTATTTTCTTCTGCTCTCCTGGACCCAATTTATGCCAGATTGTAGTTTAAAGCACATCTCACTTTAGGTTAAAGGGTACTGCGGCTTTAGCGTAAAGGACGTATTGTTTTAAATTAAGACTTCCAAGTGGCACTGATGCATTCATGGTTTCTTTGACCAGTGGCCATCTGGTAACCATGTTTTCTCAGTCTGTTCAGCTGCTTGCTTATTAAGTTTACTCTAACAACCCAAGAAGCCCTGTTCCGGTGGTTCAAAAGGTTGTTTCCTTTGTGTTTGGGAGTAAAGTGATCCTGCTGGAATGGGAAGACGCCAGAGCGAGTGGGAAGACCTGAGTGCTAGCTCTGGTTTTGTCACTCATCAGCAGGATGCCCTGTGGCAGGTCATTTACCTGTTACAGGTCTTCTTTCTCATAAGTGGAATATTTAGGGCTGGTTTGTTTCTACAGTAAGAATAGCATCTCTCATTCATTCACATGACAGTCTAGCCCTGCAGTGTGCTAGACTTTAGTAATGGGAAGACATGGGAATATCTCAGTTCGGGTCTTGAGGATCTTTGAATTTTCAGGATTGATAAAAATGTAAACAATTGCCCATTATGTGGTTTGATAAGTGCCTTTCAGATCTGTACTGTTTTGTGTGGTGGGGTTTTTTGGGGGGAGGGAGGGTTGTTTCTCATTTTATTTTTCCTTATTCGTGTTACCAGAATCCTATGGTTTATCTATTTATGTTTAATAGTTCTTGAAAGGGTTAAGTGAGGGTTTCATGAAGACACCAAATAGATTACGAATAATTAATTCAAAAGAGTATATATACTGTAGCATGGATTTTAATACTCTCCAGTTCCTTCTCACCAAGAAACTCATAACCCTAAGCCTCATGGCCAAGGGAAAGTGGCTGTGGTCCAGCCTGGGCCCATCCCACAGGGTACTCAGCCCAGCCCTGATAGTCTACATGGGGTATCTTTTTCCCGTGATGAGTCCTGATTACTAAGCTCTAGGCTGGACTTAGCATTTCCCCAAGTTATAGCCTTGACTTCTAGGATGGGTTTATTTCTGTCCGGCAGGTACTAGGGATTGCTGTAGCTCTCTGTCTCTCTCACTTGAACATCTTTCAGCCACATGCTGGGCAGTCTCCTGCTGCCCTGTGGGTTGGAGTGTGCAGTCCCTTTTGGTGGATTTCTGCTCATGAGCAGAAATGTGGAAACCATGACACTTCCTGGGTAAAGCCATTGCCCAATCCGTGGTACAGGCGTTAGAGGGGTGTGTAGGGTGAGTGGGGAACACAGGAGGATGGGAGTAATTTCATTAGGAGCAGAAGATAATATGTGAGTTGAGCCTGGAAGTTGGCCAGTTGAATAAGGTAGAAAGGACATTCCTAGCTTTATGACTAAAATAAAGCCATAGTTGTGTGGGGCTGAATGGTCATGAAATGGCATGTTTGTAGGATGGCAGGAAGGCCACTGTGAACAGAGCATCCATGGATGGACGAGCTTGGATGGGGGTTGAGAAGTAAGAGCGGGGCAGGTTTCATGGGCTCCACCTGTTGTGTGTACAGGAGTCTACATTTTAACCTGAAGGCAACAGGCACGTGGAACCGTAAGAGCAAAATATTGAATAGTAACAGTGGCCTGTTGGCTCTCTTTTTCGAGCTCTTGGGGAGGTGAGGAATGATTTGCAAACTTAAATGAGGAATTCGATGCTGCATAACTTGAATTCAGGGGCTGTGGCTATCCGCACTATTTAGGATATTGTGTGGTGAAAGAAAAGGGGGGAGGGGGCGCTTGGCTGCTGGGATGGTCGCTGGGATTGTTTTGGGGAGTTCTCTTCCTGGTTGCTAATGTCGGCTCAATAACTGACCTCAGTCTGGTTTAGATGACAACACTGGTTCTGAGTAGATGAGGCTGCTTCCTGGTGGTAAACGCCGTTCAAGAGGCAGCATGCTGTAGGACACATTGGGTTCTGAGTCAAGGTCCAGCTGTCCACCTGCCAGTTTGCACCTGACCCAGCTCATTGGCAAGAGGTTAAGTACACAGGCTTTTGGGTTGGCTCGGAGTGGGTCACAGTCCTACCTTATTAGCCACCTGACCTTAATCAATTGCTGTTGCTCTCTCCAGCTTCCGTTTCCTCACCTGGGAAAATGAGGGAAATGTGTCCTCACAGTGAGGACAAATGAGATAATGTGGTTGTCGTCTATGGCGCAGTGGTTAGCTCACAACAAATATGTGGCATTTACTCTTACTAAGCTCTCGGAATTGCATCCCATAATCTGTAAAATAGGAATATTTAAAACATTGGGCACAACAGTGTGGATATCCAGGAAAGGTTTATTGCTTTGGGTTTAGCACTTGGCAGCACCTTCACTTAGTCATAAAACTATCACAGTTTTGAAAACTATCCTTTTGAAAAGTTAAGTCTCTGGATGTGTCAGAGTTTTAGGAACACATTTCATGTGTCTGGTCTGTCCCTTCTGAGGAGTATTTGGGGGAAAGCTGTTGGCAGATTGTTTTTAGTCCCAGCTCTGGTTCTGAACTCGGTATGGCCCTGGGCGTGTCGCCCAACCTTGTTCCTGCCATGCCTCACTCCTAAAAATGTTGAATTGGAAGATCCTCTACAGCAGCGGTCCTCAACCTGGGGGTCGAACGACCCTTTCACAGGGGTCGCCTAAGACCATCTGAAAACACATAATTACATATTGTTTTTGTGATTAATCACTATGCTTTAATTATGTTCAATTTGTAACAATGAAATTGGGGGTCACCACAACATGAGGAACTGTATTAAAGGGTCACGGCATTAGGAAGGTTGAGAACCACTGCTCTACAGGATTCTTTATCTGGTTTCTTATTGTCAGGGAAAGGAAGGTTGTTGTTTTAAGCATAATTTATAACCACTTCAAGGTGTGTAAAATGTAAAAGACTTGAGGATGAGAAGATTAATAGCTTTCATTCAGTTGTGACAGCTAAAATGTTGAGGCCTTAGGTAAGGATTGAACATTGGTGTGTGTGTTTTCCCCCCGAAAATTGGCAATTTTATGAAGACTCATCAGGAGAGGTTTCAGTCTGTTTATATGTCCCTCGCACTTGTCAGTCAAGGCTTGATGAGAGCAGGTCCCGGGTGTTCCACCTTACCTGCCCATCCTCCCAGGTGTCATTTCCCCAGGTGTGTCCCCCTTCCCAGCGGAGGAGGACAGGTGCAGACCCTTTGCATCCTGGTGGCCTGGGCTTTTATGCTCCGGGATATTCTTCTCAATTGGCAGCAGCCGCACTGGAACTTTGACCAGAAGTAGAAACAGCAGGTTGTTGTCTTCCAGGAGGGTGTCTGCTTTCCTTAGGGCAGTGGTCGGCAAACTGCGGCTCGCGAGCTACATGCGGCTCTTTGGCCCCTTGAGTGTGGCCACGAAGTTTCAGTCGCACTGTACGTGCGCGCCCACACGTGGTATTTTGTGGAAGAGCCACCCTCAAGGGGCCGCAGTTTGCCGACCACTGCCTTAGGGAATAGCCCCTACTGTCTGGTGTGATAGAAGGGAGCAAGAAGACCGGTTAAAAATTCATCTGAGATGGTGGGGGTCTTCCGGACAGCCTTCTAGGAGAAGCCTTAACCGGAATGTTGGAGTTGTTCAAAGATCTTGATTGGAAAGACGTTGTCAATGGCGATTCGGTTATCTAGATTAACCAGGATGGTCTGATGTGGGAGGTTTTATAATGATTTTTACCTTTGCAAAATGTCTTTAGGCATGATCCCCTGAGGAGGGGTGGCTCCAGATGGCTGCTCTAGTCTCGGACAGTCTCTGAGGCCAGGCCCAGAAATCCGGGCTTCGCAGACACCACCCTCAGCCAGGCCGGCTTACGCTAAGCAGTTTTATTTCTGTCAGGGTAGTTGTGCCGTCTTTTATGAACAGTGAAAGAAAGCATTTCATAACAATACACAAAAGGGAAGAAAGGCTTCAGTTTGGAAGTGCTCCTTCATTGCATTTAAGTCAGCCTTTTCAATGAGAATCAGCTGATGTCAATTAGAGTCATTATAGCTACACATTAGTAAGTTTCTTGTTGGCAGTTGAGACAGCAAAGCAAAACCGATCATATTACATATTGTAGGGGGATTTTCTAACCGTGAGCAGGCTTAGGGAGAACAGGAGAATAGGCACATGGCCGTGCCCTCTGTCATCCCCGCTGCACTGTGTAATTCTGTGCGGTGCCCCTGACAGCACGTTTCGGGTTTCTTTAGCACGGCAGCAGCCTTGGGTTGGTGTTGTACAGACAGAGCTGCTTCCTGTCCTGACCTTTCGTCTTTCTTCTCTCTCCAGTAAAACATTCCTTTCATGAAGGGTGGCTTGACGCCTTTGAGAACGTGCCAACTCTGATTCATGTGGCAATTTGGGCACAGGCAGTTGCCAGTGAGCCAATCAGGGTGTTTTTGTCTATCTCTCCATCACATTCAGAAAATACTAATTTAGTTGGGGATAGACACTAATTATCTACTAACGCATTTTGTCTTTTGCAGGTGCAGGATTATCATGGGCATAAAATTTCTGACCCTTATGCTTGGCTTGAAGACCCAGACAGTGAGCAGACAAAGGTAATCGGGGCTTATAATTAAAGTTTCAACAGCCTTAGTGGCTAGCACCAAACTGTAGGCATTGGTAACCATGGCTGTTCCTTCCTGCACTTTCTGCCGTGGTATGGTGGATGGGTGACTATACTTGTAAGTACTACCACTTTGTGTCAAACGATTCATGAGAAAAGTTGAAAGCAATTTTAGCCCCAGAGAAGATCAAGTAACTGTTTTGCATAATGTTTATGGTTTATAGTGACACTGATGAACCAACTATTTGATATAAAAATATTAGAAAGAAAACTGATTTAAAAAAAAAAAAGAAAACCTAGAGAGAAATAATGTGGAGAAAACAATTGCCTAACACATTTTTTCCCCTAAAGAAAGAAAATCTTATAATTGAACAAGTATCAGGTCTTGAAAACTAAATGCTGGTTTCAGATTATTTACTGATTTTAATTCAACAACAACAAAATGAATGAAATAAGTAAAATAGTAAATATCTTCTTATATTTTATAGAAGTAAGGGGTGACGCAGAGAATTTTCTTCTCTGTCGGAAAACATAAAGCTTTCCTATTATTTTGGAGAAACACGTAGTATTTTGAGTTGAAGTCTCATTTCATTAAAAAGCTACCTCTAAGTGCTACGTCCCTCAGGTACTGTTTCTTCCTTGAAGTGCCCAGGACTTGTCCCTTGGGGCTCCTCATGTACATATACCATTCGTGGTTAATTAAGTTCGCCTGGGTGAGGGAACAGTGTTTCTCAGTCCACTTCAAGTTCTTTGACTCTTATTTATAATTGTATTTACCTGTTACTTAATACATAAGAATGTATTTACAGTTTCTAATATGCTCACCACTCAGAAGTTTACTTGAGCTTCTTTAGAATCCCAGAATATTTACCGTTTTTTTCAACAACAACGAAAAATGTTCAGTGCACTCTGAAATTTTGCAGACCAGCTTCCGAAAAGCCTACGTCTTCGTACCTCCTGTATTTGTGGTCCCTTGATGCCGTTATACACCACATTCTCTGGAGAACTGAACTCGGATTTCCAAGGCCGTTCAGATTTGCCAGGAAAATACTTTCTCCTGGTGTGGCTCTGGCAGTGGGATTGGGTTCTTCCCCTTGCACAGCTCCTGGCCGGGGAGTAAAAATTCCAGTGTGTCCTTGGAAAAGAGCTTGACGGGGAAAGGAGTGGGGTTAGCTGGGCGAGAGACTGTGGAAGAGGAAAAGTAGAGGCAGGAAGAGGTTGCTCCTACTCGAGTAAATCCTCGCCATCTCTTTCTTCCTGCATTCCCGCGTGCTCTCTCGCCCGCCTCCTTTTCCCACCCTCACATATTCTTTCTGGCATTTCTTTTCTGGTACAAACGGTGGCAAGAGACCACCAGATACAGGAGGAGCTACCGGTAAGACAGGGCTGCAGAAACGACTACAGCTTCTTCCCTATCCCTTGTCCTTAAAAGTAAGCACTGCACCATTTTTGAGACTTTGCAGTGGTTTTTACTTCTATCTATAATCCTCTTCCTCTCCCTTTCCTGGGTGAGAATGGTATTTGGACTTTTCCTTTTTCTTTTCATGAAACACGGGGTTATAGAGGTGGGTGGATAGAGATTTCCAGATGAGAAACAGATGGGTATCTTAAGGAGCAGGCAAAGGCTCTACCTCGGCAGGGAAGGCTAGGAGGAGCAGGGAGCAGATGTGGGGCTGCCTCCTCACCTGGAACCTGCCACAGGCCACCTTGATGGTCCAGCATTGGGCCGAGCTGGGACAGGTTGACCCTGGGAATGGAGAATCACAGGCAGCTGCATAACCGGTGATGGATGGAGGGCTCCCGCAAAGGGAGCGAACCTCTTGTGCATCCCCTGGAAAGCCTTCCCCAAGGACTGTCTCTAGGATGAGGTCTCAAGTACAACCTGGATTTCTTCAGTCTTTGATGGTGATGGAGTCATTCAGCAATGTCAGAATAGCCCAGTTTTGGTTTATGTGTTAATGAATGCACACTTTGCTATCCCTTAATTAATAATGGCTGGTCCTGTGGTTAACAAGCCACTCATTAGTAGATGAGACTTGGGTGATTAGCGATTTTACAGTCAACCTTTGATGGAACTAATGCCCATACACTGTTATTTTCGCGGTGTATGTTTATCGGATGCTTACTGAGTGCCAGGCACTTCACTGGTAGCTTTGCCTGCTCTCTCTCATTTCATTCTCAAACTCTAAAATATATATTTTTATTTTCCCCATCTTACAAATGAAGAAATTGAGTTACTGAGTGATTACGTAATATGTGCAAGGTCATTCAGCTAGTAAGTGTAGAACTGGTATTGGAACCCAGGTAGCCCAGGTTGTTTTCAACTTTAGATGTAAGAAGAGGACTTGGGGTATAATAGCTTTGGGAATACAAGCGGCAGAAACATATTCATGCCCTGGGACGTGATAGGTCCTCCTGTGTGGGCTCACCTGCCCACACCCGCCTGTTCGGCAGCGAACCTCAGGTGTCAGAGGGCCGTGCAAGCTCATCTTTCCCTCGGTATCCTCCATGCACACCTCTCTCACTTCTCTGTAAACAGGCTTGTTATTGACAGAAGCTGATATGTCATCTGGGATCTGATGAGTTGAGTTTGGGTCTTAGACTGAAAAGGTAGGGTACATTTTTCTAATGAGCAGAAGAGCAGCACGAACGTTTTCTACTCATAGTTATTCGCGTGTACAAAAAGGTGTGTGAGCCATATACCTTAGGGTAAAAAGGAGAATCTTCACATTGCTTCCAAAATAAAGAAAAAGCTACTTGTTGTATTTATACTATAGCCCTTTACACTAAGACTAAGATCTGAAGTGCTATCAGTAGTTCTTTGATTTAAGTTATCTAATTCTGACAGTGCCTGGCATGTAAGGCTTTATCCTTTGAAAGGGAATATCAGAGCAGACTTGTACCTTAGAAAATTCTCTAAAGCGAGGGAGGAGGAGTTGAATCTGGATGAATCCTATCAAGCTTTCAAAGCCCATATAAGCATATTTTATAGCAAATGTTCCAGATTGTGGGAGATCCTACACAACTTAATTGATTCTTTGGAATAAATCCAGCCTTGATATGAAAACTTATCAGAGATGCTTTGTAAAGAGGAATCAGTAGACCCATGCTGCTCAGTAGATATATAATGCCAGCCACATATAATTACAATTTTTCTTATAGCCACATTTTAAAAAGTAACAAGAAACAGGTGCAAATAATTGTAATATATTTATTTAATCTAGTGCAGTTGGCCCTTGAACACTGCAGGAGTTAGTTGCGCCAACCCCTGAGCAGTTCAAAATCTGTGAATAACTTTTGATCCTTGGGGGTTGGATCTAGGACCCCCTACCCTCCCAAACTGCAGATTCCAAACTATGGATTGAAAATACTGTTTTCTGTCCTCGGTTGTTTGAATCTGAGAATGCAAAACCCATGGTTCAGAGAGTGACAGTATATTTATTGAAAAAAATTCACATATAAATGGACCCATGCAGTTCAAATTTGTGTTGTTGAAGGGTCAACTGCATATGCAAAATATTAACATGTAGTTAGTAAAAAGTACTTAGCTATTATACATTCCTTTTTCAAACTAAATTTTGAAATCCAGTGTATGTTTTAATACCACCTATCAGTTCAGACCAGCCACCGGTGCTCAGTAGCTACATGTGGCTAAAAAGAAATTTTAAAAAGAAATTAAAAAAAATCTAAAACCCTAACTTGGAATAATAGTGCATTAATAAGATGACATCTCAATCAAAACAACAACCTAAACAGTTGGCTTAACTGTCTCTGTCACCACTATTTTTATGTTTGCAGAGCTCAGACCAGTGCAATAAAAACTGAACCAAAATATGGACAGCAAAAATAAAATGATCATTAATTGTAGATGATGTCATTGTGTATCTAGGCAACCTAAGATTTCCAACTTAAAATTTAGTAGAATTAATTAGTTCAATAGCGTAACTATGTACTAAGTAAATCTAACATCAGTAGCACTCATATATACGGTCAATAATAAAAAATTAGACCTGTCTGATAGCAACAGCAAAAAGCAAATACTAGGGAATGAAGAAGAGATTTCAGGTCTACTGGGAGAGTGCTGTCATGTCTGCTCTATGGAGGTCTAGAGAAGGGCCAGTTGGCATTATTTATATAGTGAAACATTGGAAATGATGTCCACTTCCAGCAATAGGGTAGTGTTTGAGCAGAATGTGGTGAATCTGCTTGGTGAAATCATATGTGCAGTTGTGAAAATGTTGGGTTATACAGGTTGCTAAGATGAAAAAGTGCTTCTGATAGAATAGTAAGTGGGAGGAGGATACAAGATTGCAGTGCTCCGAATGATTACAACTTTAAAAACGATCTTAGTAAAAATGATTCTAGGAGAATTTATGTGGAAATACAAACTAAAGAACAAAACTGAGATAAAGGGAACGCTCTGGTTTCAAAGCACTGTGGGTATCTACTCACTATTACATATTCTAGAAGTGTCTGAACGTAGAGAGATTTCACCGGTGTGAAGTGGGAAGTTTCAGCGTGAGGGGCCAGTGAGGGAGGATTGCAGTCATTCCAGTGCCTTGAGGACTGGATAGGCAGATCCAACAGGCAGTTACCCATACTACTCATTCAACAGGCATTTCCAGTGTGTCCTTTGCAGATCGTTGGAGGAAGTTTGTAGTGTCTTGTACCCCAATATTTTGCCACTGAGGTAATTTGAGCCTCCATTCTACTAATAACTAGACTGCCCCATTCCCCATCCGTGATATTAATATGTGGGTGGTTGACTTCCTAATTTTTAACTTCCTAAAATTCCCTCTAGTTTCCTGTCTCAAACAAGTGAGCGAACCCCAAAGCCCACACTCTGCCTTAGCTCTTTTTTCTTCCCTCAGTCGGTCTCCAGGCACCTTCAGGTGTGCCCTGTTCAGATCTTATTTCAGATCTTTCCCCGGGTCATCTCCCTCTCTCCCTCTGCCTGTCCACAAGCCACTCTGCATGCCCCTCAATGTACTC